TGTTTTAACTCCTGCAAATTTGAGGAGAAGCCCTTATCATAGGGATAGGTTGTGGGGGATGAAGAGAGATTAGTTATCAAATAAGCATTTAATAATAGAAAACATTAAATCTTGCTAACCAGCAAAGGCAGTTCCCAGGGTGTACTGCATAATGTCACACCAGCAGCTAGATGTTGCTCGGGTCAAGGTTCAAACCAACTGCCATTTTGGCAATGGATGAGCAATCCTGGATGATGGCGTCATTTACACTACACAGTCGGCTGCCTTGCCGTGCTGACATTACACATGGCACACAAAACTTTCACATTCCCCAAAGGCAAGGCCCTAACACCAGTAACATACATGAGGTTCAATTCCATTTAATGTCACATTGACTCCTTTACCATCTGTCACATAAAGCTGCAAGAGAACTGTGAGCTATTCAGTAAAGGAGCTGTGTGTTACCACATTGTGTGGCTGTTCTTTCAAGGCAACCAAAAAGCTGCAACAACGACAAACCTTTGCATTTATATAGCATCTTTAACATAGTGAAATAGTGTCTCAGAAGAGCAATCAAGACAGAAATTGACACTGAACCATTTAAGACAATTGTAGATCAGATGACCAAAAGCTGGGTCCAATTTTAGCTAACAGAGGAGCTAGAGAGAGTGTGAGAGGAAGGAGGAGACATTCGAGGAGGGAATCCCAAACATTTACGATTTAGGCAGCTGAAGACAATGTCACCAGTGGCGGAGTGAAAGAATTTGGGATGTGCAAGAGGGCAACATCAGACGAGTCCAGTAATTTTGCATATTTGAATGTCCCAGTTGCAGGACAGTATTCGTTCCTTTAGAAAGAAGCAACACGAGCCGGAATGGGAAAGGAGCATGCTCAGTGCATGTGTTTGCAGAAAGTGTTCCTGAGAGGGGCTCCTCTGGGGCAGTGTTCCCATTTTAACCCTTGCATGGCTGGCCGTTATTACCATTTTCTTTCTGGAAAGTGCCACATTAACTGTCACTGACCAGAAATCTTAGTCAGTAAAATTCATGTATAGGTCATTAATGGCTTTCATTACGTCCCTATTTATGCCCAGACACAGTCATAGTCCAAGGACTGAAATGAGGAGAAATTTCTTCACCCAGAGAGTGGTGAGCCTGTGGAATTTTCTGCTACAGAAAACCAAAGTTTGAGGCCAAAGTTCCTTTCAAGAAGGAGTTGGATAGAGTTCCTAGGGCTAAAGGGATCAAAGGATATGGAGGAGAGAGTGGGAACAGATTACTGATTTGGATGATCAACCATCATCATATTGAATGATGGAGCAGGCTTAAAGAGCTGAATTGCCGACTCCTGTCCCTATATTCTACGTTCCTACATCATTCTTACAGATTCAGTGCATCCTAGGGAGTGATCTCAAGTCCCCATTATGTTCTCAGTGTGCACAGTGCTTTGTGAAAATGTACCCCCAAAACGGCAGTGTGTGAACAGAATTACTTAGCGGTTCTGACGGTACAGGCCCTTCCTTTTGAGCGAAGGCATTGTTGAAATGTAGCAGCACGTTTGTGTACAGCAATTAGATGAATTATAATATCATCTGTTTTGGCGATGGCAGAGGAATGAATAGTAGCCAGAGTAAATGATTGCTAAGCGTTGCCACTACAACCCACTCCATTCCTTTGTGGGGAGGTAGTGAAAATCCCTCCTCCGCAGCATATTCATATTGATTAGTATAAGTCAGGGTTCAAATCCCATTTGAGAGCTGATCACAAAATTGAGGCCGACCATCCAATACCATTCATTACTTTTGATGAGACATTAAGTGGAGGTCTCCTTTCCCTTCTCGGGTAAATAATCCCATGGCATTGTTCAAAGTAGGGGAATTCTCCTGACCAATATTCATTCCCTAACCAGTATACCAAAATGTATTATCTGGTCATTGTCATGTTGCAGTTGGTGGGAGCTTGCCGTGTGCCAATTGGGTGCTGCATTTCCTATATTACAACAGTGACTACGCTTCAATATCCAACAGCAGCGTCCTCTTCCAAATCAACTTGCCCAGTGTTGAGGCACTCATCACATAAACCTTGTTCTGCTAAGTGGAGTAGGCCTGACATCAGACTTCACAACCAATTGCTCGACTCGTAGTACAGTCGTAACAGGACACTCCCAAGAGGACAATGGAAATACTTTAGGGATGTCCTCAAAGTGTCACTGAAGAGTTGAGCTTTCCCTGCCATGTATGGGAGACCCTGGCTTGTGACTGACTAGAATGGAGAGGGTCCATTTGTGAAAAGCGCTGAGCAGATCAACAGTCTTCATGCAGAATATGGAGAGATGAGCCTGGGGCATCAGACGGAGAGCACAACTATTCAAGTAACCCATCTCCTCGAGTCTTTAATCAATACCTGGGTTGCAAGTGGCAGAATCTTCAGATCCGGGATTGGGATTTTCAGTGATATTAAAACCGATCAAACCAGAGTGGAAACATCAAAACGAGGAGCAGGAGTAAGCAACTCAGTCCCTTGGGACTGTTCCACCATTTGATATGATCATGGCTGATCTCCTCTCATCTTCAACTCCTCTTTCCTGCCCGCTCTCCATAACTGTTCAACCCATTATGAATTAAAAATCTATTTCCTCCTCAAATGTATTCATTATCCTGGTGTCTACTACACTGGTGACCCTTCGAAAGAAGTAATTTCTCCTTACCTCCGTTTTAAATCTGCCACCCTTTAGCCTAAAGCTATGACCTTTCATTCTAGATTGCCCCACATGAGGAAACATCCTTTGTGCATCTACTTTGTCAATCCCCTTTTGTATCCTTTATACCTCAATTAGATCTCTCATTCTTCTAAACTCTAGCAAGCACAGGCTTAAACTGCTCAAGCTCTCTTCATAAGACAGGTCTTTCATCACTGGATTGATTGAATCTAATGAGCTTTCTCGAAACTGCCTCCAATGCAATTACATCCTCAATCCCGAGGAACTACCTAAGAAAGAGAAGATAGTTTGAAAGTTCATTGGTCTTAATGCATTTTGGAAGGTCCCAAGGTCATACTCAATTGTTTATCATCCCTGCATGTTGAAGTACACTGTAATCACCACAGTTTGGTGAGAAATGCGGCAGTACGTGGTCCGAAGTTGTAGGCAGTTAGTGGGAGTCTGTTATTTGCAGGCTTTAGTAAGTTTTTAGTGGTTTTCAGGAGAGGAAAGTATTCAACAAGGCAGCCATGATATGGATACTGCTATGTTTTGACAAGTGCCTCTTGATGTGAAAAATAACTTGGGAAAACAATGATTGATGTGAAGAGTCAACCAGTTAGGAAATGGGCACAGGCAATAGTTCTCAAAGTCCTTACACCCTTTAAAAGTAATGAGATAGAAAGGGCTGTTAAATTATTAGCTAGAAATGGTGTTGACCTTTTAGTGAGCCATAGTTCTGAAGGCTTTGAAAAATCCATGGAAAACAGCAGTGTAATATTGCTGCAATAGCATGAAAAGCCATTAGCAGTGTGTGCAGTAGTTTGCATAGTATAAGTTCTCACTGCAAGAAAAAAACATTTAAAAAGTTACATGATACATTGGGTTGATGTGATTGAATGTTGTTGAAAAATATGAGGAAGCAACAGCAAAAGAGAAGTATTTGAACCCATTCTTTAAGTTCCTTGAAACTGGCATCACAGGTAGACACAATGGTGAAGAAGGTGTTTAGCATTCTGCCTTCATTGTTCAGAACATTGAGAATAGGAGTTGGGACATCATGTTGCGGTTGTACAAGACATTGATGAGGCCCCTTTTGGAATACAGAGTACAATTCTGGTTGCCCTTGTATAGGAATGATATAGTTAAACTTGAGAGGATGCAGAAGAAATTTACAAGGACGTTGCCTGGTCTGGAGTGTTTGAGTTATAGAGAGAGGCTGAATAGGCAGGGGCAGTTTTCCCTGGAGTGTCGGAGGCTGAGGGGTGACCCTGTATGGGTTTATATAATCATGAGGGCCATGGATAGGGTGAATCGCCAAGGTCTTTTTCCTGGGGTGGGGGGAGTCCAAGACAAGAGGGCATAGGTTTAAGGTGAGAGGGGGAGGATTTAAAAAGGACCTGAGGGGTAACATTTTCTTGCAGAGGGTGGGGTGTGTACAGAACAAGCTGCCAGAGGAAGTGGTGGAGGCTGGTACAATTATAACATTTAAAAGGCACCTGGATGGGTATATGAATAGGGAAGGTTTCGACAGATATGGGCCAAATGCTAGCAAATGGGACTCGGATGGGTTGGACTGAAGGGTCCGTTTCTGTGCTGTATGACTCTGTATTAAATTGAATTATTCTGTAATATAAAGAGACAATAATGATATTTGCAGCCACCACTTGGACCAAACTGGCTCTGCTGTCAGAATATTTTGCTAAGCACTTGTCTTTTTTGGGATGCAACAGCCATGTGCAAACAGCAGGGAGACCACAGTGGGGGCTGTGATCTGAAACTCTGCTCTCAGCCGAGACTGAAGTCTTGGAAATTGTTCAGAATGAGATTTCTGATGAAAAGAGTAGGAGAAATCAAATCAGTTTAAATACGTGGGACTTATATATTTTTAAGGTGAAGAAAGAAAGGTGAAGAAAGGAGTATAATATTGTGAATCACAGGATGCAAATCCCAATGAATGGTGGTCTCAGACTAATGCTGGGTGTGTTTGTACTGAATTACCATGCACCAGTTTACCACAGATGGTGAACTTTCTGAGGGAAGAATTTGATTCAAGTCTGTTAGACAAACATGCAGGGAGTGCATTAACCTCTGTCTGAATAATCCCAATTTCCATGGTCTATTTTCACAAATGAAAGCACTACGTATGTACTGGACAGCAGCAACTTTCCGCACAGTGTGTTGAAAGATGCTCTTCTTTATTCAGGGTGGGGTCTGGATGACAAAAGGTTGTATGGTGCTGGTTCATGTCACCGTGCCTGACTCTTCATTCATTTCCTCTCCCTCCCTCCCTCTTTCCCCTTCCCACCCACCCATCCCTACAGAATGAACAATTAGTGCTTCATCATGAACAGACTGAGTGTGGAAAAGGGAAGTGTCCTTATGACCCTCGACAGCGGGTGGCCTCAGCAATGATTGGTGAGTATGGCATTGGGTGAGCTTGCAGGGGTGGTAGTCTGTGGGACATTGTGCCATTTCAGGAATGTTTATACTGGCAGAGTTCGCAGTCTGAGAACATAAAATCTGCTGAAACTGTAACACTGTGGTAATACTCTGACAAGTGCTCAGCTTGTCCTACGAAAAGTCATAACGTTTTCTACAAATAATAGGCTGAATGAGATTTATGACAAGTGCAAATTCACACAGCTGGAAGTGGACACTTCCCCCTACATTTATATGTTTCTTAACTTGCTTGGACCACAGTTAATATTCGTGGACACACATTGAGTGCCATGAGCCTCCAGCGTAGGTTGAATGTTTGTTCTGGAATATTCCTCCACTCATGCACAGACACGGCACAGCAAGATTCTATCTTGCAGTGTCTGTAACTATACGGACTGAGATCTCCCCATTCCATTCATGAACAGATTTGGCATAACATCACTCCCTCTCTACGGCAACCAAACAATAACGTTATGGTGTCAGCTTCAGGGCCTTATCTGATTTTTTTCCAGTCTCTTTGTTCCTAGAGGCTCCAAGTGACATTCCCCATTCATCACCAACTTATTTATGGTTCTGTGCTTTGGCCTAGTGGCATGAAGGGAACGGAGTTGGCTTGTCTGAATACGCAGAATTCTTAGCTTGGGATTGGAATCTAGTTCCTGAAATGAAAGGATACCGTCAACTCACTATGTCACTCACCTAAATGTGCATTTAGTTGAACTTGAATGGGCTCCATAACTGAAAAGAATAAGGTTGAAATTCATAAAGTCAATACAAAAAGTGCCAGTGTCATACAGAAAGCTCTGCTTACTCAGTGGATGGTGTTCAGGTTCTGGAGCTAATATCTGCAATGTAAATGCCTTGCTGAGTAACTACCTGACAGTTCAGTGGCTGCAGGAAAGTATTGCTTGTGAGATAATCAGGGTGTGATTCTCCACCCAGCTCCACTCTTCCAGTCTCCATGTCATATTTTCACCTTTTGGTAGGTCATGAAACTGAGGTTATTCGATGGCATAACAGAACTTTAGTTAGGTCACATACTGCATACAGTTCTGGTCTCCACACTGCCAGAAGGCTGTGCAAGCTTGGGAGAGGGTACAGAAACAATTGACCAGGATACTGCCTGATTTGGAGGCGTTAGCTACAGGAAAAGAATTGGACAAACTTGATTTGTTTTCACTTGAATGGCAGAGGCCTGATGGAATTTTACAAAATGATGAAATGCGTGGACAGAATGAATAGCCGGAGTCTTTTTTCCGGGATGGAAATGTTAATTACTAGGGGACATAGGTTTGATGTGACAGGAGGAAAGTTTAAAGGAGATGTGCGAGATGAGTTTTTTTACAGAGAGAGTGCTAAGTGCCTGGAATGTGCTGCCAGAGGGAGTGGTAGAAGCAGATACAATAGCAAGGTTTAAGTGACATTTTAGTAGATATATGAATAGGCAGGGAATAGAGGTAGAGGCAAAAGGTTTTTATTGGAGAATAGCATCATGTGTCAGTACAGGTCTGGAGGGCTGAAGGGTCTGTTCCTGTGCTGTACAGTTCTTTATAATCTAGCTTAGCCTGCCCAGTGATAATGTCCATATCAAAGTACATTTGTGCTCCCTTCTGCCTATTCTGCCCTTCCGACCATGCTCCCCCCTCTCCTTATTCACTTAATCTTCTGATTCTCTGCCTCTACCTGTGCTCTCCACCTTCCTGTCCCACGTCTTCCTGTCATCTCCCTCTACTTGTTCTTTCTTTCTTCTATATTCCTCCTCTGCCTGTGCCTGTGCACCCTCTCTGCCTGTGCTTCCTATTCTGTCTATGTTCCTTAAGGCCCCCTTTATGTTCCAGGGATTTTTCGTGAATTCCTTTTCTCTTGGTGTCCCTGAGCAAAATTGTGTATGTGTATAGATCTCTGTTTTTGTAACCATTCAGGAGAGCAAGGCAAATCACACTTGTAACACTCTCTGCAAATTTACAATAATATCCTTGATTTCTAACAATGTGGCTGTTCCCTAGATATGAACTGTACAAGCTTAGGTGGCTCAGCAGTGACGCTACAGCACCATTTAATTAAAGGTCATTTTATATTGTTTGATTCTTTGAAGTCAGCAGCGGGGATGACAGTGCTTCCAGGCACCTCAGCAGTTGAGCAGGAGCCATGCAGAGCTGTGGGTTGGTCACACACAGGCCCTCTGAAGTATGCAGCGAGACGTTTACACAAGAGAGAGCCCATCTCCTTCAGTTCATTATGAGTACTGCATGACACATCTTCGAAAATCACTGTAACATGAGCTTTGCTTTTTGAGTAGATCCGGTGTAAGACCACAATCACAGCAAATGGGAATTAAAAAGGAAAGTAAACCTTGCGTGCGTACAGCCTTTGGAGTCCAGTCGCTCTTATTGTGTAGGAAACCAGCAGACAGTGTACATATTATATAGACAAACAGGAGGCTGAAAGAACACAGCAGGCCAGGCAGCATCTGGAGGAAAGGAGCAGTCAATGTTTTGGGGGTATTACCCTTCTTCAGGGCTGGATGTGGGGGTAGCGGGAGCTGTAGATAAAGGGAGGGGAGGGGATGAAGGCAGAATGATGGTGATAAGTGGACACTGGTTGATCGATGGGAGGGATAAATCCGCTTGGTGGCTGGAAGGGAGGGTCAGAAGGTGGAATGGAAGGGAAAGGAGGTGGGGGCTGGAAAGGGAAGCCAGGGGATGGGTGGGAAGGTTATTTGAAATTAGAGAACTCAATGTTGAGTCCTCTGGGCTGTAGGGTGCCCTGGCGGAAGATAAGGTGTTGTTCCTCAACTTTGCATTCCAAGTCGCTGCGACACTGAAGGAGGCCGAGGACAGACATGTCGGAGGGGAAGTGGGGTGGGGGGTTTAAATGGGCGGTGACCAGGAGGTTAGCTTGGCCGTTATGGGCCAGACGGAGATACTCAGCGAAATGGTCACCTGGTCTACGTTTGGTCTCACCGACATAGAGAAGATCACATCGGGAGCACCGGATGCAGTAGACTAGGTTGGAGGAGATGCAGGTGAAGCTCTGTCTCACCCGGAAGGACTGTTTAGGGCCCTGAATGGAGGTGAGGGAGGTGGTGTATGGGCAGGTGTTGCATCTTTTACAGTTACAGGGGAAGGTACCGGGTGGGTTGGAGTGGTTGGTGGGGAGTGTAGTGCGAACTAAGGAGTGGCGAAGGGAATGGTCCTTGAGGAAGGGAGAGAGAAGTGGGGAGTGGAAGATGTTCTGGGTGGTGGGGTCTAATTGGAGTTGGTAGAAGTGTTTGAGGATGACACATTGGATGTGGAGGCTAGTGGGGTGGAAAGTGAGGACAAGGGAGACCCTATCTTCATTATGTTTGGAGGTGGGTAGCGTGGTTAAGAGCTGTGGATTGGGGAATGGAGGAGGCACGGTGGAGAGCTGTACTGCATGACAGAGGAGGGGAAAAGAGTGTTGTTTGAAAAGGAGGACTTTCAGGATACAGGTATATTATGGGTATCTCCTCTATATTGTATATTTGTCCCAGAAGCAGCAATGACCAGATTAGTTGATTTTTGTGATGTTAATTAGGGTTCAATATTTTAATTAAAGTAATTAGTTTGAACACTGTGATAAGGTGTTACAAAGTGTTAAAAAATATAGGCCATTTTATCTTTTGAAAAGCATGCCGAACTTTTGATAACAAATGCCTTGTTTGTAAAGTTGATGGATGTATACTCCCAGTATCAGGGTCAGGCAGCTCAAATGTGACACAGACTAACTGTAGTGTAAACTGCTCTGCTCCCAGCGAAATGCCTTCCCACCAGCCTTCATGCACAAGCCTGTTGTTTCCTTTTCCTACTCCAACCTCTCTGTCCGCTTTAGTGAAATGGCTAGTTCATCCTTGACTTTTATCAGTACTTCACCATAAAGGCTGGTAATTTCTTTTGTACCAAAGTAGTCCTGTGCATCCTGCTCCTACACTTGGTGGTCTTCACCTTCAGCTGCCTGCATTCTAATCTCTGGAATTCCTTTCTTAAGTGTCAAGGAATCTACTTCCCAATCCTCCTTTAAGATGCTCCTTAACACCTGCCTGTTTGGCTAAACTTTTGTTCATTCGACTGTTTCCTTACAGGGGTCTGTCAAATTTTGGTTGATGATGTTTCTTAAGACCTTTTGTTACAATGAATGAAGGTTTTGTGTATTTTTGGAAACTAAGGCAAGTATGGGCACATAGAAATGTTGATGCTATCTTGTGTATTAGGTATGTACTTTGTAAATACCAGCTAATAATTTATGCTTGAAAGGAAAACTTGCAGTACCTGGCTCCCGTATTGCAATGAAAACTTTGTAGGCTGCCAACAAAAACAAGTATGAAGAATAATTCTGGATTTTCAGTGTCGTACTCTGTGTATAACCTAAAACATGACATGTAAGGAGACAGGCTTTTGGCTTTTCTGTTTATTTGCTGCTCAATTAATCTATCAGTTATTATTTCGGTCTCAGACAGCATCCCAAGCATCTCTTCAAACCCTGATGGTTCACCATCATTAAAACCTGCATGATGGGGCTCATTGAAGTGCATGTGCTCTCTCCTGAACCCTTAGGATGCCTTAGTCAGAAGTGTGTTGAGATATTCCCATTCATCTAAAGGGAAGGAAGAGTGAGAGAGGCTGTAATAACAGCCTGCTGCGGCTTCAGGCTCAGATCTGTAGGGACTCTGTGCTAATTGCATCACGGTGTCCCTGGAGTAATAAATCAAACCTTCTGACCTCCATAAATTTTGACACTGAGTGCAGAGGTGAAGGCAACAGCTCAAGCTAGCTTGTGGGATCTTAAGTGAGAAGGGGATTGCTGAAGGCACATTGCCAGTTGTTTTGTGGCACTCCGACACAGGCAAAGCATAATGTCATCCTTGCCTATTGATGGCAGAATTCTGTATCCTCTTGGCACGTGTGTCGCTGTTGCTGGGCGGTAATCAATCTCTGAGTTCTACAATGCCCATTGGG